TCATTTTTATGATTGTTTAAGTGAATTTCAGAATTTTCGTGATGTGAAATCTTAGGGTTTAGTTTCCACCAATTATTAAACCCTGTAACAAATTTTGAAAAATTATTACTTTCTTTATCACAAGCAGCAAAAAGTCGACAACAAAAGCAAAATAAACATTTTTTGGAAGGAGAATAAACCATCCACTTTCTGAGAACTTTTTCACCATTTGGAAGATGCTTGTAGAACCAATGCTTTGTCAACTGTCGAGTTTGACCCTTTGTTTGCTTCCCTACTCTTTGAACCACTCTAAATGGACCATTTTTGTTCTGGAAATATTCACTCTTTAGTTTTACTATACTGATTCTGATGTTATCTGATAACGGAATTGTCCAATTTCCCACATCACAATTTAAAAAAATATCATTTTCACTAGAAAAATTGCTTTCATCCTCGCATTGTTGGTTTGACGTTTCAGTTTCGGTGGTTGTTTTTCCTTGGTCAGATTCTACGGTTGTATCTAAATCAGTCTGCTGACTTGATGAACTAGCAATAATGGATTCTGGTTTGGCAACTTGGTTAACAAATTTAAGCATTGATCCAAACAGAGCTTCGGTTTCTTCCCTTCTACTTTTCAAAATTTTTCGTTTTTGTGCTCCACTTGGATGATGTCTCTACATGATCACGTATCTATCTAAAAGTTGATAGTGTTTTAATTCTAATAATTTATTTTAACTTCAGGGCTTAAAATATAATTTAAAAAATTAAAAGTGAAAAAAAATGGTGTAACATCAGTCACGTAAACCGTGGAGAACAGATATCCGTCTTTACCTATCAACACTTTTTGTACCTTAGATTTAAACTAGTGAGTCAGTACCGGTGGGTGAAAGTATATTTTCTGTTTTTCTTACCTGAAAGATAGTAAGTTATATTTAAACTTATTAAAGAAGAGATTGATAAATATATAAATAAAATTAAAAACTCACTCTAATAAACCAAACGGAACAGACAACAAAAAAAGTTTGAAAAAGCCGACTCGTCCAAAAACTATATCAACCAATCACATTCATGTATAATGATGTCAATGTCCGACTAAAAATAGACGTGGATTACCAATTCGGTCAGGATTTTAAAAAAGCGTTTATTCGAACTAAGTATATGCATTACTTCAGATTATTTATAAATAAATATATTAAAAAATCAAAACACAAAATCACGTCTATACACTTACTAAATAAATAAATTATTTAAAAATTTTCGTAATTGGCTTTTTGGAGGCCCCCTCCAAATGGGAGGCCCGGGGCGATCCGCCCCCCCCATCGGTACGCCAGTGGTCCAAGCGCCTTGGCATGCCCAAACCAAAAATGACAATGACATAGTTTGCTTTACTTTTTCCTTTTCTGAATACAAGTTGGAGATGCTTCAAAATTAAAAGTTTGGGAAGGTCTGCACATATGAGGAATTTAGAGATTTGACGCTATAAGTATAAGTTGACGTATAAGATAAGACCTAAGAATTTAAACACCAAAAAATGATATAAAATAAAAAGTATCTAAAAAGGGTCTGATTTATATATTTTATAAGTTAATCTGTTAATTTAAATAATTTTTTGTGTAAAAATTTGATAATTGTTTGATTTTGTGGTCGTGTAGAAGATAAATTTGTTAATGATATTTATGTATTTTTTTAATTTGCTAGTTACAACAAGCTGTCACGTCACATAAGAGATTTGTGCAGAAAAATAAAAAATGTTGATCCTAAAAATGTTTTTAGGATAGAAGCCACAGCCCATCTTCTTGAAAAACTGTATGGAGTTTGTAACTGTTTTCCTTAATAATTAATTGCTATTTATTTAATTAATTATTATTGTTATAATGAGTATTTGTTTGGTGTTTTTTTAAATCTTCTCAAAAACGCGAATAACTAAAATCATAAATTGTCCAGAGAAAATAAACAACCTTTAATTCTTTTCGAAACATTGCAAGGGTGAGATCCGAGCCGCGTAAATGTTGTGGCAGACTATTCCAAATCATCGTTCCAACAATAGCAAAATTTTTTATCCTATTTTCAATTTAGCGAAAGGAACATTTAGCAGATTTAAATCATCAGAAAGTTGTTGAATTGGAAAATATATATCAATCAATCGATTGATTGGTTGATTGATCTGAAAGTTGATGAATTGGAATATCCCTCTAAACAATTTTGTCATAAAGGTATTTGGGGCCAGGTCATTCTTGCATTAATAAACTACAACAGTAATTCTGAATTCAACTCTTTTTTTAACTGACAGCCAATGCAATTCACGCAAAATTGGAGTAACGTGTTCAACTGTGATGCACCCATTACAATCTTTGCAGCCCAATCTTTATTGACTGCTGCTGACTTGTCACTTTATTTGCAGTGCCACAGAACAAATCATTGTAATTATCCAACTTTGAATGTACGAATGCATGTACTAGACTTTGTAGGATGTCCCTATTTAATGATTTCCGAACAAATCTCAATCCACACATATGATGATAGCATTCACTTGCAAGTGATCTAACGTAGTCTTGCATCAGTAAACAACGCTCCAAAATTACGTTTTTAACTTTAATTTTTTAAACTTTTTTGTTTTGTAGGCACAGGATGGGTTTGATACCGACAAAAAGAAGTTTAGAGCTCTGTGATAATATCAACGCCTCATCATTTTGCAGGTAGATTCATAGGAAAATTATTTTAAATAAGTCTCATTTGCTTATAATTTTTTGAAACCTCAAAAGTTCGACCATTTACTTTTAGTATTAGAACAATTAAGAAAAATAGAAAATTCTGGTTTGATATGAATAGATACAAATAGTTTTAAAAAGGTTTAATAATCGAATTAAACTAAAATTATGGAAATAAAGTAAGTGTTTGCTTTCAATTTAGAACAAGTTTTAATAGCGATATAATTAAAAATGCAGACAATATTTACATATTTTATCTTCAAAAAATCATAACCTAACAAACGCAGAATTTAATAAACATGAAAAGTATATATATATATATATTTTGTTAAATTTATTTGCCCATTTTGCATTTATCAACTTTTTTTTTATGGACTCAACACAGCGTAGTTTTTGACATTCATATTTATTGTGAAATTGTGACATATTAGAAGCTGACAACGTTGTTTCGGCTAAGCAGCCATCATCAGAGCCTAAAACCAATGAAATATAAAAAATTTAATTAAAATAAATGAGAATTAAACGAATTATGTAAATTATTTAGCGGACATGATAGATAAGATATTAAAAATAAAATTGGAATTGAAAGTGAAGTTAAAATGGTACCTTGCGAAGGATGTAACCTAAAAGATAAATTTAATACTAAAACATGAAATTAAATAAAAGTTACTAATTAATAAAAGGTAAAATAAATGAAAATAAAACTGGAAAGTTGGAAGAATAGGAAATAAACAATACGTGTGTGATGAATGTGGTGTAATCACTAGTATAAAAATATTATGGAACGCTAAGTATATTCTACACAAATTAAATGCATAACTAAGATTATGTGGTTATAAAATGTATGTAGGAATAAAATAAACTAAAATAAATAAGTTAGTAAATAAAATGAAATACGATAAATGTACTATGAATTATGTAATGGGAATTGAATTTAATTAAGACTGTAATAGAGTAGTTAAAGATGTAAATGTAGTAGATTTCCGACGTACACTTATAAATTGTGTATTGACCGGTAGAAAGCTGTCTGCCTGCGAATGATATTCATATCTTGGTGATACAGGCAAGCACGGTTGCTCACGTACAACGTTACACAGTAGAGCCTGATCCCGGTATTGAGAAAATAGTTGTAGGATGTGGTCGAAACTGCTTGATTGCTTGTTTGAAGTGGGTTTATGTTTGTTGATATACAGGGCCTCACGGATTTTAAGTCGACCAGGATGCATTTCAGTGTCAAGTATCGTAGTATTCGAATCCAAAATGGTCCTGGTGAGAGGCATATGGTGTTCACTAACCATATGGTTCTTTATTGCACCATCCTGTATATGCATTGTAAGTCTACGAGAGAGAGTAGTACGTGTGTGACCGATATAACTCTCCACAACACTGTGTGGCATAGGGCACATAAAACGGTACACAACATTTGTCCTCTCTAGCGTAGGTGTTGGTTGGTTGTGTATATTTACAATATTCTATAAATTCTACCGAATGTTTGGCGTTAATATGTTTGCAGTTCGTTTTTTCGATTTTTTTCACTAAAGTTTTTTGGTGTTGAGGAGAGAGGAGGAAAGTGTACTGCAGAGGGCTGAAAGAGCTATGGTGAGGATGATGTGTGGGG